AACTTTTAAATTGAGCACAGCATTTGTGCTTTGATATGGTTTATTTCAAGTCAGTCAAAACGCTTCGTACGCCATACAGATGAACATGGTCTAACCTTCTCGAAAAAACTTTGGTTCATTGGTTCTGCATTCAAACCGAATAATGTGGAGATAGGCTCACTAAACAAATTTTGTAACTAGTTTTTGATATTATGTACATTTCTTTTATCAACTCCCATAGTTTGTAAGTTACCACAAATGATTATAAATGATGCTTAATATGGCATGACCTTGAAATCTTCCTCCTTTTTTCAATGCCCCACAGTACGACACACGCTGCTAACCGCTCATAAATACATTGCTATACATACAAGTCTCCCGTTCTCAATTGTCATTTGTTATGATAACTGAACTATAAAATATGTATTATCTACATTTAAAGACTATAGCCATATTTCCATCATAAACAACATCTGGATATATCTCTGAAATTACAACAAACATATTAGAATTATTCATTGTGGTATATTATAACAAATGAAACCCGAACACGCCGGGGCCTGCCGAAATAAGTGAAGCCACATAATTTTGCGCTTATGAATTAGAGTTGGTATATTACAACGTTAACATTTGGTCGTAGTAACTTTATTGTCATATAATTTTTGGTCCACCACAATATCTGTATTTCGGTCCTTACAGTAATTATTGTTCGTTCAAATATCAGTATTAAAGAACTCCAGTATACTTACGCAATTCACATACTTACGCCTGATAACCCTCGTGGGGGAGAATAGGCCGCCCACCGGCATTCTCCATCCAACCCTGTCCTGGGCAATCCTTTCAAGTTATTTCCAGTTGTTACTCATCCTTTTCATATCTGCTTCTATTTCCCGGCGTAATGTGTTCTTTGGACTTTCGCTTTCCTTCAGGATTATAAGTTAGCGCTTGCCTCGCGATGCAGTTCGGTGATTTCCTTAATGCATGTAATATCCACTTCCAACGTCCTTTCCTAATTTCTTTTTCAGCTGAAAGCTGGTATATCCTCTCCCATAAAAGGCTGTTGTTGATGGTATCAGGCCGGTGAATGTTGAGTATTTTGCGTAGACAACTGTTTTCAAATTATTGTACCTTCTTGACAATGGTTGGACTAGTTCTCCACGTTTCAGCTCCGTACAGTAGGACTGTCTTGACGTTCATATTGAAGATTCTCACTTTGACATTAGTCGGCAGTTGTTTTGAGTTACATATGTTCTTCAATTGTAGGAATGCAGCCCTTGACTTGCCAATCACTGCCTTTACGTCTGCATCAGAACCTCCTTGTTCATCAATGATGCTTCCCAGGTACGCGAATGTTTCCACATCTTCCAGGGTTCCTCCATCAAGTGTGATTGGCTTGGAGTTCTCCGTGTTGTATTTGAATATCTTTCGTTTACATTTGTGTATGTTAGGGACTATTGATGCAGAGGCTACTGCTACATTTGTTGTCTTCATCTGTATTTGTTCGTGTGTTTGGTAAAGGAGGACTGAGTCATCTGAGAAGTCCGAATCGTCTAATTCATTCAGAGCTCTCCATTGTGTTAGCGTCTTATATCAAGGCATTTTTCTACGGGATGTGGTTGCTGACCACATGCTCAACCCTCCTCCTTTATCTAGAATTGGGACCGGCAGTAACTCTTCAAGAGCTTGTAGATGGCGTCGAGTCTCGATTGACCTATGGAGTAATTTTTCGTTTTTATGTTCTTGAGAGTCTTTCTAAACCAGACACATGGTTGCATGCACCTGGTTGAGTTGACACCAAACTTCCGATGATACCAATAGAACTGCCCAGATTGTTTGAACATTTGTGGGTTTTTGCATGACTTCCATCTCGGCATACCTCATGTAACAAACTGTTATTTGAGGACAAATTATTATTATTATTACAGGCAATAGGGGCAGAGTGTAAGAAAGTTCGGGCGAACAAGATGGACAGAGGGACGAGAAGTGATTTTGGTACAGTTCAACAACAATGAGTACAGTAAAATAATCACCAGTACAATTGGTTATAATAATTGTTTCCATTATACCAATCAAGTTCTCGTCGAATAAGGCAGGTCACTACAGGCTATTTGAGGAGTTAACTCCAATATTATTTATTTATTTAAAAATTGGTACAATGAAGCATCAGATAAATATGCGCTTCACAAATCAAATGAGATTTGTGTGAGGGCTGTGATACTGCCCGGGTGCCCAGACTGAAGCAGGTGATTTTCTTAGGGGGCCACATCCGGAGCCTTTGACCTGAATATCTGATACACAAGGCAGTGGAGCATCGTAAGGAAATGCAGTCCCATGGTAGCCGTTGACCAATGACAGGTTCGTCCGCCATTCGTTCCATCAGGATCCTGGATTTAGTCCATGTGCACCATTGGTTTGGAATCAGGGTTTTCCAACTCCCCTAGGTGGACTCTCTGTGTCCACCAACCCGGTTAAAGCGCCGGACATTCACTTTTGGTAAACAACACCCCCGCCACGAGAAGGCAGTGAGTAGGACTTCCCTGGCAGAGGCTATATATTCGCTGGCCATATGAGAGTATTTCGAGGGAGAGGTGACTCTCCCCACTCTCGGCCGTACCAGGGCATTTGGGGGCAATACAAGCCTGTCTACTTCAATCAGTTCATCTTTTTCATTGTACAAAGTATTCTCTACTATTTCTTTCTAATTGATTACGAATTACTTCATTTTGTCACTGCTAACCGTAATTCAAACGAAACAGCAATCGCTCAACATACGCCCAGTGGCCCATTACTGTCCAATTCATAAACATGCCCGGTAGTGGATTCAAACTCCACTATTCCCGAAACAGTGACCTCTACAGCTCTCATCAAGACCATTCCACGTTTAATACTCATTAAATTGTGGCAGCAACCGCATACGAAGAAATAGAAAACCGACCGAGCAGTACACCGAGTGAAGCTTATTATCCTGCAATAGAAATTCCTGACAAATCTGATTGTCAAAATCCCCATGTTTTACCAGAAAACATGTCACGTGTATCAAATGATAATCGAGAACCTAGTGTAGTCTTGATTGACGCTGTTTACCATAGTGATCCACTATCTATCAATGTTCGCAATAAATTTGATGACTACATTGCAGCAGAAGGAAACTTTGATCTCACACCAAAGGTTATTGACCCTCAACATCCAGTCAGTTCTGGCAGATTATCTATGGAATGCAGGAAATATGTTATACATAGATTCATATTAAATGTAACTTGCGAATCGGAGCATCCAACGCTATTTCGTGGTGGGGGTATATATTCATGAATTTTAAAATCCGAAAATCAACTCCGGATCTTTCAAAAAAGGGGACGTGATATGTCCCGATAACAACAGTGAATGGTGACTTTGGGATCCATTTATGGACCAATATTATACCACAAGTTATAACAACCTTGACGTTGACGGTCATAAACACTGACCTGAAAATTGATATGAATTGTTTAATATATGCAACTTGTACGTATACGTAAACTACAAATATAAAAGCTTAGTTATTGTACTGTATTCAGATACTTACTTTGGGACGATTATTAATTGCGAAAACAATTGAACTACAAATATTCAAGTACATAGTGAGTTGTTATGGAACTAGATCAGATGAATATTGAAAACACGAGCGAATAGTTTTGTTATATTGGTGCCATAGTGACCAGAACGGAGTTATAATCTACATTACTCGTGAAATTGCGAAGATTGTACGTTTGGTGTCAGATTGCAAAATTCATTGAGGTACACATCAGCATTGAAATGTTCGCTAACTAAATTGCCGATCACATAATTGTGTAAAACCCGGAAGTATCGTGTCAGTAAAAAAAAAGCAATTCGAGTGAACCCACATTTTCGAAAAAGAACATCAACAAGAGGTACTGAGGTGATATTGGACGAATGTTTCTCATTAATAATAAACACTTACGTATTGTTTTTCACCAAAAATAATCAAACAGGAAATTTTAAAATTTGCAGTAAAAATACCAACAATCTCTCAGATTGAGAAAAAAGCGTACCGTTGGAAAATGTTCTATTCAACACAAATGGGCGTTTTGATATTGCCAACTTATTCAAACTTAGTATTGCTTGAGTAATATATATAGTCCAGCGAATTACAAGGGCCATATAAAATATAATTCCATCTAATCATTACGTATACAAATGGTTAGTCGTCAATGAAGTTTAGATCAGTCGAGTAAAATTGGAGTCATTTTTAGTATACACAAAATTCCCAAGTGTATGTCGTTGTACACACAAAAATTACGCATTTTTTGTAAGTCAGCAAATAAGTTAACGTATTAAATATATTTTAGATAATGAGAAAAACAGTAATTAAACAAAAATTTTTATCTAAAATATACATAGGCAAGTGGATATTTTCACTATAAAATCAACACTGAAGTCGAAAAACCAAGAATAAACTGAAATCCTCTACAAGGAAGACAATAAGGGAGATAAGAACTGACAAAGGCAAACAACAGAATATAACAATCAAATCTAATTCATCAATAAACGATAAAAGTTAATTTTTGTGTTGTATTTCCTGAACTGGGCGGTAGATTAGTCTTAAATTTTACTATTTTCATTCTAAACAACATCAACAAACACAAACTTCAGATAGAAAAAAACGATCTGAATTTCTCTACACATATGACTGACAGATTGTTTTATCTACAACAAAACTGATTGGGTGTTGGTGATACCTGTACTGTTATTACTACCACAATCACTTTGATCGCTTTTAGGTCCGAAAAGTAGGACAAGATGAGTGTCAACAAAAATTAAGATTGACAAATTAATTTGTTAGCTACGTACGGATAATTTGGAATAAGTCAATTTTAAATGATATTTATGTTGATATGATGTCTGTAATCATGAAAACTATGCGCATTAACTATTGAACTCAGAAAACATAACATCAACAAAGTAATCATAAACTCTTAGCTAAAAGTAACTGCGCAATGAAAGTGTTGACACAAACTAAAAAGTTATGAATGAATCGGATGTGATGATAAACAACTAAGTAATTCTTGTGGTTTCAATTCATTTTGACAAATTCGATGAACTCCAGTAAATAGGGGGAAATGGGCAGTACGATGTCTCGTAGTCAATATTTTATATATCTTGAAGAAAATGAAATAAAAAAGAATAAAAAAACAATATTACAAGATAGTTTAGTTAATGAAACAAAATACATTATGGAAAATTAGTGCAAAGATGTAAGTATATCATAGTATGTGGCTTTAACTTTAACAACATAATTCACTACATATTTCGGACTGAGAAGTTAAACTTTATATATATACCTAAAACTCCTCTCTACCTTAATTCGAACTTTTAAATAAATATTTTGCTTAAAACATTTTTAAAATAAAAAATCAACATTTTTAAATATGTATTTTAATATAATGCGAACTTTGTATGACCTATAAATAGTATTTAACTCCGCCCATAGATCTACAGTTACTACCGGTCCCAATTCCAGGTAAAGGAGGAGGGTTGAGCATGTGGTCAGCAACCACATCCCGTAGAAAAAGGCCTTGATAAAAAACGCTAACTAGAAAAAATCATTTAAATCGCTAAAATAATGTCATGGGAGTTGTACGATCTTCATTCATAAGAATTATGATGCCTCATGATGAAAGCCGAGATCCTTCGGAAGTCATGAGGCTGATGACCCTTCTAACAACCAGAGTAACAATTAATATAGGTACTCGGAAGACCAATCAAATAGCTACGGAAATAAGTATACAAATTGGCAGTACTTGGATTCAGCGAAACACATTGAACCCAAGTTGGACAGAAAAGATTAGATACGGGAGAGATGCTGCTGTACTCTTTTCACGAAAAATAAAATGCTCAGGGAGTTACTCTGATGCTGTCCAAAGAAGCACGAAATGCACTTATTGGGTGGGAATCTCATGGACACAGGATCATCAAAGTATCCTTCAAAACAAAAAACGAGGGAATCACAATGACTATTATCCAATGTTATGCATCCACAAATGATAGCAATGACGGCGATAAAGATCAGTTTCACGAGAGGCTGCAATCGATCATAGCGAAGTACTCAAGAAAGGACCTGGTCATAATGATGGTAGACCTAAACACCAAAGTCGGAATGGACAACACCATGTATGAAGATATCATAGGACGTCATGGACTGGGAGAAAAGAACGAGAATGGTGAGAGATTTGCAAATATATGTGCATTAAACAAACTGATTATAGGTGGCACTATATTCCCTCACAAACGCATACATAAAACTATACGGATCTCACAGGATCACACCACAGAGAACCAGATAGATCATATTCGTATTGACAAAAAATTCAGAAGGACGATGAAAGATGTGAGAACCAGGAGAGGAGCTGACATAACCTCAGATCATTACCTGGTTGTGGCTACCGAGATGAAACTGAAGCTAAAGAAACACTGGACAATCGGGGAGAAAGCATTAAAAAGGTTCAATACAGCCTTACTTAGAGATACTAACAAGATCGATGGATTCAAGTTAACTCTCAACAACAGGATTTCTAAGACTTACAGGATCTACTGGAAGAAGAAGACACTACTATGGAGGACAACTGGAAAGGGATAAAAGAAGCATATATATATATACTGTAAAAACGTCCACACATCAAGTTACCAGTTTTGCATACTCAACTCCATCGGTATATGTCCTCTTTGAGTTTTTAGTTAATTGTTGTAAACTGAAAGAACTTCCTGAACGAGATAATTTATGACCAACAGTGATATTTATCAAATCTAAATCTGATCCAATATCTGGAACTTCATCGGTTCGATGAGACATACCTAAAAATAATTAAATATAATAAATTTTATGAAGATGTAATCCACATTAAGATGCAATTTATTTATCATCCACTTCATTAGGTACTGATATGTGAGCTTGACTGTGATATCTTGTGGCATTACTTGGCTGGTTGTTCAAACCTAAGTAGGTAGAACGGAATTCGAGCCTACGACTTAGTGGCTAAAACTTAAGCACCTTAACCATTGAGCCACCATAACATTTTGGAGTAAAAGATAAATGTACTTTTTTATAATGTAACTTAACTGAAATACAAATTCTATCTAGCCACTATTATCAAAAAACTTAATGATTTCATATGTCATAGAAAATTTTTAAACGAATTAATTGTATAAAACTATAAATTGGGATCATGAGTATTTGTAATATATAATGACGAAGCAGCAAAGCGTGCGAACAATCTTAACAGGTACAATAAATTAATCAGGGGTAAGAACCTTTACAATAATGAAAAAGACTGAATTAACATTCTATGAAAAAATATATACTCTAACTATTGAAGTTCATTTAGTTAAGCATGACTATTTCACAGAAGCTTAGCATACATATCAATTTATTCGTTACAGTTACGCACTTAATGGAGATCATTACTATCCGTTATCATTAGCGAACACTCATTTGATTGAATGAAAAATCATCTTGAAGTATATTACGACGTAAACAGTAACTTGATTACGAATTTCACCATTTTATTATGTAAAAAAGCCCATAACATTAGTGAAACGGTTGTAGTAAATGCATTAATTGACATCTGAAATTCAACCTTCAGAAATAAAAAGAAGGCTAAAATCTATAAGATATTTTTTTATTTGGTTGAAAAAAAGAGAATATATACACAACCGATAAAAAGGGAAACATTGTATATTAAAATAATATTAATCCGGTCAACAAAACATGCTTACAATGCTACTATCTAATACAGTTTGCAGTGATCAAATAAAGTTTAATTGTCTTAAGTTAGTAAGCAGATTCAATTGGAGATGTCACACAGTTGACGGAAATTTGATATATATGTATTTCTGTGGTTGCTATATCTTGATAAAAAAGATCAAGTATATTGAAGTTACCGGTTGGTCTACCATACTTAGGAATTAAGGAACGATTGAGCTATTCTAATACTCAAGGTTCTATTTACGACTTGATTATGCCAAATGGCACACAACACTTCAACAATTTGCCACTAACACGGGAACAAGACGAAGTGTGATAATAGCTTGATACACAGGCAAAAAAAAAAACCTAAAATGATACAACCTAGTGCATGCTTTAACAAAAGCATGATCTTGAAGTACAGACAAAATGTGCGAACTGGAATTACCGATAACCAATGCGAAGAGAAAAAAGATGATACCATGAAAGGGAATACAGAAAACAGACAATCACAGATACCGTTACTAACTTTGACACTATTAACAGAGATAGAATAATCCTGTGATCTCATTAGTAAACTTTAATGCTAAAATATTAATACGGAAAGACTCAACGATTGTTTGAAACCAATTGTGAAAAAATATAGACAGAAAGAAATTTGGGACTGTCAATATCAACTCATTGGGTGAACGAAGTATTGAAAACGATAATAATAAAAAGTCTAACAAAATTAGTTTGAAATCACTCAGAAAAATGTTGTCGTAGAAACTAAAAGTTATGTAACAAAATTAACGAGATGATATCAAACATGTAAAATGCATCCATTTGAAATATATATAACACCAACTTTGAGGTATATCATGTTAAGATTCTACAATTATTGACTTCAGTTGTTTAAAAGAACATTTACACCGTCATTTAAACCCTAGTCTTACTATGATATGAGGCGATTGAAATTAAGTTGTGGTTAGCCATTGGTCGTAGACAAGCAGATATTCAGCTGACTATTTAATTTGTGAAAGTCACCTGTAAAAGGGATTGATTTTCTGATTAAGAATGGATTTCTGGAGAATTCTCCACAGCTGATTGCTCGTTTTCTGTTAACCCGTAAAGGTTTAAGTCGGGTTGCCATAGGTGAATATCTTGGGAATACAAAGAATGAAATTGCCCAGTTGACAACACGACATTTTATTCGAGAATTGAAATTTCGAAACAAAGAAGTTGATGAAGCACTACTCAGCGACTTGAAAGACCAGTAAGAAGACACGAGTAACAGAGAAATCACTTTACTACAAGGTTCGATTATGTACAGAAAAAACAGGGGTTTTATAGTAATTAGAAAGACCTTGAGATTCCATAGTAGCAATATGTTAACAGCCAATCAGGACCTTGTTATTTTAGTAGCATAGCTTCTAACTGATCGCTGATTGGTTGGTCTCTTTATGAGCCTCTCTGGAGGCTCTGATAGAGTTTATTGTATGCCGATCTAACACCTCCCCTTTTTTGAAGAAGCGGGGTAGGTATCCAGACTGCATTTGCTGACTTCAACCTCCCCCACGAAACAATGTTGGGTCCCCAACTTTCGACATAGTGCCGTTGTTGCAGATTGAATTTATGGGACGATCTAATAATTTCAACTTTTCTATCCAATCAAGTCCCAATAAGTCGAGTGCTGGCCGTTCTGTCAAAAATATTACTCCCTTCTTTGTAAGCTCTGCGACTGTGATTTCACAGTGAACCTCACCAGCAATGTTTATAATCCCCCCAGATGCGCCGTGTGCTGTCTGATAGGTTGAAAATATTCTCGGCCTCCCAATTTTCTCCCACGTCCTCCTGCTTATAAGCGTTATATCGGAGGCTGTGTCTAGCTGTAAGCGGGCATCGTACCCGTTAATCTTGAGGGAAACATACTTTCTACGATTATGGGAGCCGATTCTGTTAGCAGCTACCGTCACCTTGGCTGTGCGTGGCTTGAATCTTTTAGAATAAACTTTAGGTTGACGACGTTTTCGGGTTTTGCAATGACTTTCTTTGTGTCCTTTCCTGGAACACGTAGTGCAACGATGACTTTTAAACGGACAAAACCTTTTGAAATGCCAACCTCCGCATAACCAGCATGGGGATGATGGTTTACCGCAATCATTTCGATAATTCTGTATACTGGAACCTTGCTCGACTTTCCTCTCAACAGCATTAACGTGGAGGAACTGGTTAGTGTTTTCTATCATCGAGGTATCGTGCTTCAAATTCACTAACCTTTGACATTCATTAGTCACTTCCTGCAGGGTCATGTTGGGACAATGCTCAAGTTTGCTTAGGATTCTCGTTCGGATGTCAGCATCCTCAGGTGAACGCAGGCTACAGACAAATACTAAGCATTTAAACTGGTCTTCAGACATGGAAGACAAATTGAACCTCTCGCATTCTCGGTTCACAATACCTGCATGTTTCACCCAGTCATCTCCTGATTCTTTCGTTATCTTCAAGCACTGGTAACGGATATTAAATAGAGACGACTGTTCTCCAAAGATTTGAGACAGGGTTTGAATTGTTTCATCAAAACTAAAGTCTCGTGGGTTCTTCGGGAGAATAAAGTTACTATAGCGTTCATGTTCTGTTGTCCCAAGCTTTCTTAGAAGTATTCTGACTTTTGAAGCGTCATCCAGTCTGCAGAGATCAATATGAAACAAATCTTCATACTTCTTAAACCAAGAGTTAAAAGTGACACCTGCTGCACCATCAAAATTAAATTCATGGATTGCGTTAATAACTGAGTCAGTATGAGATACTTGAAATTCACCAGCAGCAGAGTTTTGTTGAGACATACATAATTTCTGCATAAGAGCTTCCATGACTCTGATTTGAGACTGTTCAAACCGTTTTTCTTGACGCTCCATATAAGCTTCAAATTGCTCTAAAGAAATACTCATTGTCATTTTTTTTTTTCGTCGCCAGTGATATGTCTTGTAGTTTTTCCCCGTCGCCACTGATATGTCTTGTGGGTTGAACGCTATATTCAGATCCTAAGCTATTCGGATAACCCCAGGCTAGCACTACTCAGCGACTTGAAAGACCAGTAAGAAGACACGAGTAACAGAGAAATCACTTTACTACAAGGTTCGATTATGTACAGAAAAAACAGGGGTTTTATAGTAATTAGAAAGACCTTGAGATTCCATAGTAGCAATATGTTAACAGCCAATCAGGACCTTGTTATTTTAGTAGCATAGCTTCTAACTGATCGCTGATTGGTTGGTCTCTTTATGAGCCTCTCTGGAGGCTCTGATAGAGTTTATTGTATGCCGATCTAACAATATCAAACATGTAAAATGCATCCATTTGAAATATATATAACACCAACTTTGAGGTATATCATGTTAAGATTCTACAATTATTGACTTCAGTTGTTTAAAAGAACATTTACACCGTCATTTAAACCCTAGTCTTACTATGATATGAGGCGATTGAAATTAAGTTGTGGTTAGCCATTGGTCGTAGACAAGCAGATATTCAGCTGACTATTTAATTTGTGATTTCCTTTCCTATTATTGTTTTATACGCCGAACTCAATGAGTGTAAACTGCTTGCAATTTTGTGAAATATTGTCCAGCAATAATCTGGTTCCCTATGTTTCGTCGTATATTGTGTAACTGTTGTAACGTGATCTACTCTATGTACATCGTATTGTTCGAGTAGCTAATTTAGAGGTAGTATATTCATGATCACCGATCGGATAACCATATTATTATACCATACGGCAGAAAGAGGAGTTGCATATCCCCATGCACATATTGTATAGCTTGTATGATGGTGTTTTACGAAGACTGGTTGTATTTTTCTAGTGTTTCATAATTATAAAGGAACTCTACCCCTAAATGATATCAGTCTGTGACGAAAAGAACAAATTAAACCAACCATTGAAAAAAGTCTTCAATTAGTGTATATGTATTTCTCTAATGTTTAGTACTATATTTTTACAGCTAACTTAAAAATGAATGTCTGCTTTTTAGGACATTTCTTTCTGTAATGATATATCTTGCTTATTTGTACTAATGGCAAGTTGCTACTGTACCATGATGTATGTATCTAATCTTAGTGAGAATTCCATTCA